GGCCACGGCGCTCGAGGCGCGCGCTGCCGAGGTTGCGTCCCTCCGCGAGGCACGCGCCGGAGCGGACGCGGCGCTGAGCGGCGCGCGCACCGAGCTTGCCACGGCGCGCAAGCGCGAGGCGGCGCTGTCGACGGAGCTGGAGGCGGCGCGTGCGGCGGCGGCGAGCCACCAGACGGCCGCAGAGGCGCGCAGCCGCGAGGCGCTCGAGCTGCGCCAGCAGCTGCACGCGCAGAAGCAGGCGGTGCGCGCCGCCGAGGGGCGGCTCTCGCGCCTCCCGGGCTCCGCCCGCGCGCTCGCCGAACGGCTCAGCGACCTCTGCGAGCCCATCGAGGCGGCCCTGCACGAGCTCAATGCGGCGCACGCGCCGTCGATCGAGCGCGGCGACGGCTCCCGCGGCACCGGCAGCTTTTGACTTTTTGCGGCTACAATTGTCCTAGAGCGCGCGATGGTCCGCGGCTACAGTGCCTACTATTTATCTCAATTTGATTATAACATCGATCTTGTCCAGTTTTGTACTTACTGATCTCTGCTATTTCCCCCGCATTTCACTTTTACCCAAGTACCGGGCTCCGCGGGGTCTCGGCACGCGCTGGAGTGTGGAGAACAGAGGCTCAGGCGTCAGGGGCCTGACCCTCAGGGGCGGAGGCGCCCGCCCGAGACGCCTTCTTTGCCATGCCGGCGAAGGCTAGACCGCCCTCCCCGCGCATTGCGCGCACTAAACCAATGCGCTCATGCTTGGCGAGAAAACCAATGCAGCGATGGACATCTCTCGCTGCAGGCGCTCGCGGGGGCCGTGAGTGGCGGTCCCCACTGGCACTGCTGCCTGCCCCTCTGACTATACTTTTGTCTGTGGTGATGCCTTTCCTTGAGAACGCACACAACGCCTCGTGTGTACTGCCCTGTGTTCCGCGAGCAGTGCGTGTGCCCCGTCGTCCATGCTAGGACGTGTGTGACACTGACTGACTGACCGCAAAAAAATCTCGTCGTACACCTCTGATTCACCCTTGGGGACCCGCTGTGTGCGGGGTGGGCCCCTGCACACAGCTGGGACTCCCAGCGGATCTGACCTAAAGCCGCCCCTCTTCGGGAGTGCGGGTCAGGAGGCCCTAAAACGGTGGGAGGGGTAGGGGTGCCGCTGTAGGGGTGTGGAGGGGTCGGGAGGGCGGGAGTGTGGACCGTGACCTAAAGCCCTCCACCGATAGAGGTGTCAGGCGGCAGGGCCCAGGAGGGGTGGGGGCTTGGAGGGCTGGCCAAAAGCGAGGCGTGGGAGGGGTCCAGTGGGCTAGAGAGGGCTGGAGGGGTCGGAGGGGGCTAGAGGGGCCGGAGGGGCTGTGCGGATGGAGGGGTCTGGAGGGCTCGGGGGGCTTGGAGGGCTCGGAGGGTGTCGTCCGGCAAGAGGGTCCCTAGCGCGAGGGGTGGGGCTCGGGAGGGGTGGAGAGCTCGGAGGGCTCGGAGGGCTCGGAGGGCAGAGAGGCACGAGGGTGGCGCTGGAGGGCTCGGGAGGGCTCGGGAGGGCTCATGAGGGATGGAGTGCCCGGAGGGCTCGGAGGGGCGAGCCACCGAGCCCGGGCTCGGGCTGCTCGGAGGGGTCGGAGGGGTCGGAGGGG